AGATAAGATTTTTTCCTCTTGGAGTTTTTCTGCATGCTTCACACAATATTCCCAGTTCTTTTTGCGAAACGTTTGAAATTGCTTCATGCAGTAACACTTCCACGTCTGCAATTTTAAAAAGTGCTGTTTTTGGTGGCAACTTCATTTTTTTGCTTGAGCCCATACCAACTCAATTGGGTTATATTGGCAATGGTAAGGTGGTAAGCGAATCATTTCGTTCCTGACTCCAAAGCTAACTGATCCAATTTGTATATTTTTTTCTGATCGGTTCCGTTGCACCTGTAAATATAATGTTGTTTGTATATTCATCTAAATACTTAAAAGAAAACAAATGTATTGCAAACTTTAAATAATATTATCTGAAATACCTTTTGTAATAGTTCCGGCTTGAGCTATCACTAAACTTAGTCCCGTGTTGGCGGAGCCATTCCTAATTTCCTCTTTTTGTTCGTTGAGAGGGTATTAAGGCAATACGTGTTCGCGGCGCTGCCCTAAGGCGTGCTGGTGAACTTCTCATGTCTTCACATATACATCTTATTGGCAATTTATTTTTCTGACACTGTTGCATAATTAATCATCAAATCAACTGAGTAATGTAAAAAAATTTTGTGTTGTTAAAAAATCGATAAGTATTGTTGTATAAGTTACGGGTAAACTTGACTATTAATATTTGCACACCACTCAGGTAGAATATGTAGAACAAATTATACTCGAACACCATTGTACAACCATATTCTTGCAAATAAAGATTATTATTATTGTGGGGTATCTATATAGTTTTCTCATCTGGTTGGGTGCTATAAATATATAATTATAAATGAAAATGAAAAAGATAAATATACATAAATATCAATAACATAAAATAAATATAAAAATACTTAAATAAATAAAAGCCCAACCAGATGGAGGCCCTCGGCAGGGGGAGACCAAACGGCCGAGGGTTAGGGGGAAAGGGAAAGAAACCGGCGGACGATGCGGGCGGTATCGAGGAGCACCGCCTTCTGAATTTGAGCCCGGAGCGGTCCGCCACGTAGTCCCAGTCGCCTCAGATGACCCGAGAGGCTGACTGGGATTAGCGTTTGCAGAGACGACTACAGGAATAATTTCGGTCGGCAGACCACCCCACATGTCGGTCACCTCGTGAGCCAGGTCCAGATATTTTGTTTGCTTGTCTGTTTCGGCTTTCACGAGGTTCTCGTCATACGGAATGGTAATGTCGATGGAATATCCTTGACTGTGCCCGGTCCATCAGCACAATATCAGGCTTATTCGCAAGAATAGTCCTGTCTGTGATGATGGCCCGGTCCCAGTAGAGCCTGGCGCGGTCATTTTCGAGCACGGCTTCCGGCAAGTACTTGTAATACGGCAATTTCCGGTCCACGAGACCATATTTCAGAGCGAGCTCCTGGTGTAGAATTCTGGCTACTAGGTTGTGCCTGTGCAAGTACTCAGAGTTAGAAGCGCCGAACAACCGGAGATAACATGCCTAAGTGATTCACCGGGATGGCGACAAGCTCGACAGACGTCGACGGTGCCATCCTTTAGGATGTATCTCCGATAGTTGTTGGTCTTAATAACCTGATCCTGTATTGCACAGACAAAACCCTCGGTTTCCCCGAAGAGGTCACCGAAACGTAGCCAGTTGAGGGAGGCGACTGTATCTACGAAGGGCTCATGAAGAGCCCTGTAGTACCTCCGTGGAGCTCCTTCTCCTTCCATACGGTCTCCCGGTCGGAAATGCTAAGCACTGTGGGTCCTGCCATTGCTCGTGGGCTAAGGATAGAGGGGTAAGCCCTTTATCACTAGAAATGACGTCATTATAGAATGGATCATCCGATCTCGCCAGGAAGTAATCACGGAGGCTGCACACTTCGCGATTATGCATGGTGAGCGCGCTCCTAAAACCACGCCCACCATGCTTTCGCGGCAAGTACAGCCTCATTACCGACGATCTCGGATGATGCATCCTATGGGACGTCATGGTAGTGCGGACTTTTTCTATCCAGGGCGTTAAGTTCGGTCTGAGTCCACCTGAGTATGCCAAAGGTATATATGAGGACAGGCATGACCCAACCGTTATATGCGTGTGTCTTATTCACACCGGACAAAAGGCTGTTAAGCACTTTGGTCAAGCGTGCATAAAACACGTCGCAAACTGACTGTTTCACACCAGCCTCATCGATACCGATGTTCTGTGACATACCCAGGTATCGGTATGTTTCAGCCTCGGAAAGGGTCTTTAAGTTGACGGGCATAGATAAATCTATGCCCTCAGAGTTAGCAACCCTTCCCCTTTCAACATGAAGGACCGCACACTTATCGTCCCCAGCTCCATTCCAATGGAATTGCTGAATTCACAAGTGATGTTTAGCAATTCCATAAGATGGGAGCGACTGGAGGCGAATAACTTGAGGTCATCCATATAGAAAAGGTGGGTCACTTTTGTTCCTCCTTTCCGTAGCTGAAATCCTCTCCCGGAGCCCTCCAGTAAGGTACTGAGAGGGTTCAGAGAGAGCAGAACCAGATGGACTCAGACAATCGCCCTGGAAGATACCCCTTCTTATCCTTATGTGGTTCTCCGCAGCCATCATCCGCTCGCCCTGATAACAGAGGATCGTACTCCACTGCCGCATACACTGCTCGAGGAAGTCTCTAACTGTACAGTCAATCTTGTACAGCTCGAGGACCCTCTTTAGCCATGCATGGGGCACCGAGTCGAATGCTTTTCTGTAGTCTATCCAGGCGGCGGAGAAGTTCCGACGGTCGTTTTACCACTTTGCCAATGACCGCGTCAATGAGGAGTGGTTCGCCTGGTTCCCCGATACCACCGCCCCGACATCCATTTTGAGCGCGTGACATCACCTTATTTACTCCAGGTGACGAGATTCTCGCGCTCAAAATGGTGTCAGTGTCTTATATATAGTGGGTAGACACGTGATGGGGCGGTATTTGCTCGGGTCTGTGGTATCCTGATCTTTAGGAACCAAGTGAGTGATCCCAGTAGTGAAGAGGCTCGGGAGCGACTTCTGATCGAGAGCCTCTTGATACTGTCGGGCGAGCACAGCGTGACACTACGAACCCCCTTCAGCCAGTAATGATGCAGTCCGTCGAGCCCCGGACTTTTCCGTTCGGGGCCCTACGGACCGCCTCAGCCACGTCTTCAGGCGTTATGGTGACGGGGTCCATAGGCGTAACACTTGCACTCCGGCTCGCCACAACTTCCATCCAAGGGCCCTCGCTGTGGTTTACGGGCTCTGACCACAGGCCACGCCAAAATGCGACAGTGTCGCCTGATCCGGTCCCTGGGCCCGCTCCACATACCTCTGGTCGCTCTAATGATTTATAGAGCCTCTTCTGATCACTCTGGAAGAGACGATTTTGGTTGAACCGCCTTGACCTCTCGCTAAATCGTCGAATCCGCTTCCCCCAAGCAGCGATTTTTTGCTTCAGGTCATCTATGCGCTCCGTTAGTTTCTGCGTGATATCCGGCTGGGACAAACTAATATTTGTCCCAGCAAACGCCATTCTAACGGTGCGCACAACTCTCGGTCTAATATTACCCGACCTGAAGCTTGTCGGTCTGCCGATAGGGCCCTTGCCTTTGCGATACGGTCCTCGATTCTTTTTCTCCAGGCTGGGATGGCACTACCTTGTTGAGTAGCACGTCCAGCCATGGGAAGTTTGGCGCCAATAATACGGCATACTGCCAGTGCGGCGCCAAAAAGAATAGAGTCCGTCTCGCAAAGGTCCCGGCTGGCTTCCAAATAGGTCACCAGCATTGGGTTAAGAGCCCGCACGACAGCCCGATTTCGCTTGCTAAGGGGTATGCGGGGAAGTCGCGGTCGATTTTCGAGAGGCAGGCTGCGCGTTTCCAGCATCGACTCTTCCAATATGCTCCTCATTTTCTCTAGTTCGTGGGGGACTATTCCATCATCGTCTGAATCAACTACAAATGGAATATTGACGGCAGCGTCCACATTTGCAGTTTGCTGCGCAATTAGTGGCGCCGCATTCCCAGCCGTAGCATTTCCATCCGATGAGGGAACAGCCTCACGTCGTAGTCGTTCGAGTTCGGCGTCACCAAATATGTTGGAGCGCAGGATGTACCGAACTCGGTCTGCCAGGTTTTGCTCAGTGACGGATAGAGATGGCTCCAGCTCTGCAAAAAAGCGATGCATCCGAGCCCGATATGCCAAACATCCAGTTTCTTCCCCTTTTGCCCTAAAGTACGCCCGCAGTGCGTTTGCGTTCATTGTTTGTGACCAACGCATGCGACGTGCTCCACCAGCGGCGGGTGCCGCTTGCTGAGTCCGAGAAGACCCAGCCGACACCAAGCCTTCTGGTGGGGATGATGGATGCGGAGGGCTGCTAGGTGATCGTACAGCTCCTCGCGCTCGGCTGGCGGCCCGCATGCTGCCGCGTCCAGCGCCAGCTCCAGACGCGCCCCGGCGACCCCCAGGCAGCGGCCCTATGCGCGTTCCTCTTTGTACCATCATCCATTTATGGGCGCCAAATAACGGGAGACGCCCAAGCCCGGCACCGTTTCGTGGTTCGGTCTTATGCACAAACGGACCTTTGCACCCACAATTTTGCCTAGGCACGGCGCTCACACCTCTTGGCAGGGCGCTGACTGACTGCGCCGACGTAGTAGTTTTGTCACATAACTGTTACGTCAGCGGGCGATGGGGTCGTCACTTCCCTACGCCTTTATTATTATTATTATTATTATATTCGAAATATTTTGTTTTCTTATTTCTCAGACATGCATGTTTTTCCTCACGCTGTTTTCCTTCACCGCTCAGCACGTGGTAAATCATCACATAATTAAACAAATTGCAATGAACGTAGTTTATATTTATTCAGTTATATTTTTTGTATATGTCCATATACAGTGTGTCCAGGGAAGTAGTAATCAAACTTTAAGTGCGTGATCTATGGACAATTTTATCGATAAAAATATCTTAAGTCAGGGGTTCGAGCCCACTGTTGCTTAGTTACAAGAATTTAATTTTTTTTCTCATTTTCAGCTTTACCTTCAAAATAGGCGACAGTGCGGAGGTGCATATTGACACTGATAACGAGCAATTTGGTGTCATTCGAAAGCTAAGAAGTTAAACTTTCAGTAAAAATATGAAACACACATAGTTGTCATACATTTTGAGAGAGTTAGGATTGATTAAATTAAAAAACTTATGATATTTTTAATGTTTTTTCAGTTATTTTAAAATATAAAAAAAGACTAGAACATTAAGATATCTTTTTTTATCGTATGGCTAGTATTTGAGCTGTTCTAAAAAATTATGTCAAAACTATTACTCTAGGCCATTTATTTCCGAAGTTATTGTTTAACAATGGCCTTCCGCGGCAAGTATTCTGGGAATCTTTTAACAGAGCTATCAATGACAGTAAAAGAAACAACAAAATAAAACTTATGTTATTTGTTTATTTTTTTTATAGACTCAAAGTAAATGTTCAAAATGGCCTCCTCCATTGGTAAGGCACATAGTTGCTCGTAAAGCAACTTGGCTAGTTGCTTTCCGCAACATTCGATGATTCTGTCGTATTTCATCACCGACGCTGAAAATTCTTTGTAGTAGTTCATCCCTGGAGTTCACTGATTCGAAATAAACTTTTTGCTTCAAATGACCCCAAAGAAAAAAAAATCTAGTGGGGTCAGGTCAGGCGAGCGCGGAGGCCAACTAACAGGACCTTCACGACCCACCCACAGTCCTGAGAATTTTTCTTTTAAATGCTAACGCACATTTCTAGCAAAATGGGCCGGAGCACCATCCATCTGCAGCCACATTCTACGTCGATAAATGAGTGGTAGATCCATCAAGGCTTCGGAAAAGTCGTTTCTTAAGAAATTTAAAAAAATTTCATTGTTCAAATTTGGCGGCAACTCAATGGGTCCGATTAGTTGATTATCTATCTTTGCAGCCGAAACATTCACGGAAATCTCGTGTTGAAAACTCGCAGGCTGTTTGGCATGTGGATTTTCTTCAGTCCACACGTTGATAAAGGTAAGGAAGTTGGGTGTTCGTCGAGTCGGGTATCTTCTGGCGTATTCACGTACTGCGGCTCTAGCATTCCCATTGCAAAAACCATACACGAAGTGTATGTCTGCTAATTCTCTGTTAGAGTATTCGTATCCTCCTCGCGGCATGGCGAAAACCGAAAAAAAAACAGGGAACAATGAAAAGAGATAATAGACTAAACTTAAGACTCAAGATTCTGTCCGTAACAGTACGATGTATCATCGTTTTTTTCCTTCATACGACGAAAGTATATTATTCGTCTCTTTCTAGTAATAATAACGTAAAAATTCTACACCCGAATCCGACTACCTGGCTAGCGCGCTCACAGAGCGCGCTGCGGAAGGGTCCCATTTGTTTAACAATAACTTCGGAAATAAATGGCCTAAAGTAATAGTTGACATAATTTTTTAGAACAGCTCAAATACTAGCCATACGATACAAAAAAAGATATCTTAATGTTCTAGTTTTTTTTGGATATTTTAAAATAACTGAAAAAAAAACATTAAAAAATATCATAAGTTTTTTAATTTAATCAATCCTAACTCTCAAAATGTATGACAACTATGTGTGTTTCATATTTTTACTAGAAGTTTAACTTCTTAGTTTTCGAATGACACAAAATTGCTCGTTATCAGTGTCAATATGCACCTCCGCACTGTCGCCTATTTTTGAAGGTAAAGCTAAAAATGAGAAAAAAAAAATTAAATTCTTGTAACTAAGCAACAGTGGGCTCGAACCCCTGACTTAAGATATTTTTATCGATAAAATTGTCCATAGATCACGCACTTAAAGTTTGATTACTACTTCCCTGGACACACTGTATACAGAATGGGGTCCCACATATATGCAATAAATGAAACCACAAGTAAAACTAGTCCGTAGAAAATTAAATATTAAATTAAAACCCGTAAAATAAAAAAGTGAAATTTTCAAATAAAATAAATATTATAATAAATTCAGTAAAAGTGAACACTCTGTTTAGACAACGTACCTTGACCCCTTGGAAGAGTGACAACGTTGCACGCGGGTGGCATGGCGATTGTCGGCACGGCCTATGGTTCGTTGGACAATGTACTTACTCACTAAACTGTTTAGATATTTTACCGCCACTTTTTTATTTCGCGAAAATGGAACTGAACGAAATAAATATTATTGCATATTAGTAGCAAAATTTAATGAAACCCTAAATTTTAAAATTTTCAAAATGTCCGCCACGTTCTTGAATGCACGAGTTACATCGCCGCATAATGTTGTCCTGAAGCCAGCTCAACAAATTTCGTTCAGGATCCAGAGCCAGGGCTTTTAATTTGTTAAAGGCGGCAACAATACGATTGCGCAGTTCATCTTCGGTTTCGGAGATCTTTGAGTACACTTCATTTTTAATAAAGCCCCATAAAAAGAAGTCTAGAGGAGTGAGGTCGGGCGATCGAGCTGGCCACCTGCGAGGGCCATAGCGCCCTATCCATTGTTCGCCGAACATGATGTTAAGCCGCTCTCTCGCGAGGAGTATGGAGTGTGGAGGAGCTCCATCTAACTGGAATTATACCCTTTGGTAAGCTGCCACAGACAATCCTTCTAAATATTGTTATTGGGCCGTTAAGAATATTGAGAAATTTTTGTGCATTCAGTTTTCCGTCAATAAAAATAGGGCCGATTATTTGATCTCCGTGAATGCCTGCCCAAACATTAATGGAAAATCGGTATTGATGAGTTGATTCCCAAAATAAATGGGGATTCGTATGGCTCCAGTAACGCATGGATTGTCGGTTCCATATGCCGTTTCGAGTAAACGTGCTTTCATCTGTCCAAAACACATTTGTTAGGAAACGTTGGTCTTGAGACATTTTTTCCAGTACCCAGTGGCAGTAAGATTCTCTAATCGGCTTATCGCGGGGCAGCAGCGCCTGCACCTTAACATATTTATAAGGACGTAGTTTGTTCCTTTTCAGCACTCGGTGTATTGTTTTATGCCTAACTCTAAACACACGCCCAGCTTGTCTAAGGCTGCAGGTTGGATTCCCATCGAAATGGTCTAAGACTCGTTGTTCGAACGAGGGTGGAAAGTGACGCGGAGCAACTCCTTCATGAGTGTTGGGCACTATGTGCTGATTTTCCCTGATTCTTTGGACAGCACCTAGGATTGTCCGGACGCTAGTAGGGCAGACGCGAGTTGCGCCGTATCTCTCACTATAAGTACGCAGAGTTAACGCTGAATTTTGGTGGCATTCGCCATACAATAAAACCATGTCTGTATACTCTGCCGCACTGTAAAAATGCTGTTGTCTTGGCATTTTCCGCCGCCAAAACGTATACACAAAAGTCAAGTAGTGTCAATATCACAGTGAAAAAATAATAAAAATAAACGTACTTAAAAACACTATTTACACACACAAGTCAATTAACTAATAAGTGTCTATTTCACCGTAAAAGAATTGTTCGACTAATTGTATTTATCTTACGATAATACGATAATTATCTTACGATAAATAATTGCGATGCGTGTAGGCAGCGAAACACACCTGTATTCTGGGAGAATTGCGCGTGAACTGGAAGCCGAATTTCCAAATTCCAAAATGGCGAAAATAATAAAAGTAATAAATAGGGCGGCCACAAGGTGCAATTATCGTTTATCGATACTTTTCTTTTTACACTTACTTACCTACTACATTTAATACAAGTAATTTTGATTTTTGATTTGATAACAATCGACAAGTTATTGATTGTTAAAAAAAGTTTATTTTTATACAATTGAACTTACGAAACTACCGATTTGTAACTTCCTGGGAAACGGGTAAGTATGTATGACTTTTTAATTGGTTGTTTTTATGAGTTTTTAGCATGTTAAAATAATTTATTATCTCTAAATCTACAAGAACACACTTAAACAAAAAAGCTTTAAAGTTTAGCTTTAAATACTTAGGTCGTAGTGTTTTTAGAATTATCATAACAACACGATTATTCTAAAAAAACCATACCCTAAGTGTTTAAAGCTAAACATTTTTTTTGTTTATCGATTATTACTCCCTTTGAAAGAAGCTAATCGTCAATAACTGGTGTCCTACTCTACGACAAAGGCGCGCGCGCACTTGCGCCGTCGCCTTTGAAGTACGCCGCATGCCTCGTGCCGCTTGTTTATGGACGTCGACAAAAGACACCGCTGTCGATATGTCGCAATACCAATAGTTTGCACTGCGTGGCAACGTAGCTTTTTAATGTTCAAGGATTCAAGTTCATTGAATCATTGACTTAGTGACCCAATTCTATAGAGAGTTCAAATTTGCTTAAAATTAAAACTCTACTTTTTGACCTAATTACTGGACCGATTACGTTCATTTTTGTATATCGTCAGCAAAGGCGACAACAAGTATATGGTTTCATTTGTGGCGACGCACACATTTATTTATTTACTTTATTTAAAGAAATAATTATTATTTCACAGATACGTATGTATACAATTTAATATTAATATTATGATATTTATTACATTTATATATTTACAATACAATTACAGTCACACACACATATATATTATACTATTTCTATTTATTATAGTAAATTTTATTTTAGTATTGTATTATAGTATAATCCTCGGTGCCGGCCGGTCGAAGTACATTGGAAACAAACATTCGTTTTAATTGTTATCAACACCGTGTACCTGAGTACGTTCAACGACCAGCCAGTCGCAATCTGATCGTGTGACGCGAATACTGTGCCGCTTGCGCCTACGCCGAACTTTGCCCTTACGCATAACAAATATTATTTGAGTGTCCATTCCTATTTTATGTTAGTGACTGTAAACTGTGATTTCTGCTATAATCTCTAATCTGTTTGTAATCGTATAATTTCGTATTTATAATCGCCTTCTGCTTCTTCATGTGAGACTGTTTTTGTGTGTTGAACCGTGAAATATATAACTGTCCAACCGTGACTTATTTGTTTATTCCGGTGACGGACTTACCATCAGGTACCTTATTACACAACTACATTATACTCCATAACTGGTGACCCCGACGTGATTGATCCTTGATTATCAATTATAAGTTTAGTGCTCGAACCTGAGTAATACCACGATGTTTCATTTAGTCTAACCCATGGCATCTCATTTCTCCCTAATTCAACTAATGAACATTTCATTTTTAATTCAGATAATGGAGCTCCATTGAGTAACTGACTCAAACATGATTCCTGATCAATAACTTGAAGGCCATTTGATTGTATAATTCCTGACACCTTTTGGTCTACACAGTAAGGACTAAATAGAACCGTTGATAAGTCAATTTTGTATGAGTGATGTAATATAGATGACATTAACTCAGTGTTATCCGTATTGATGATATACTTTTTGTTATTAATTAGCATAGGAATAGGGCGAACTTTATAAATTATTATTTGATTGGATGAGTCAGGAATTATGGGAATGTTTAAAAGGACAAAGAAAGTATCTTTTTTCTCTTAGGCAGTTTGTTAATGGAAGTGAGTAATACATTTCAATAGATGATTCCCCAATCGCTGGATTTAATTTCATATTTTTAAGATTGGGATGAACTTCTTCAAGAAGATTAATTAATCTTCCTTTATTAATCAGTGACTCCGATAAATAATGTAAATTACATTTATCAATTGTCTGCACTAACTGCATCTGAAATAATTCATAAGTGAGATGTCGGGTTTCCAAAGCCATCTTCAATCTTTGATATGTTAACATCCTCTTTATTTCTCTGAATGTTGAATCAATCTTTTCTTGGTATGATCCTAATTCATTCACAACATTGACTATTGTTGATTTAATTGGAGTTAAGTCAATTTGAATTTGCTTTACATCAGTGATTAATTGCTCATTCAAATTTAGCTGTGTTTTCATTATTTCCTTAAGGCCATTTACATATTCAGTTAAGGATTGAGATTGAACTTTGAGATTTTCAATATCTCTAAGGGTGGCCACTCCTGTAAATTTTGAGTTAATTTCACCTATGAATGGTAAAAGTCCTTCACTAGGCCATGACCTTTTTGTCCTCTTCAATAATGTAAAATTCTTTAATTGATCGATTAATTCAACTGAATATATACTATGATCAGTTATGTTAAATAATGCAATTTCCCTAGAAATATCGTCATATTCCATGTGTATGTCAATTTCAATAGGAATATAAAGGAAATCAGTGTAAACATAAAAGCTTTGGGTTTTCTCAAACAGAATCCCTGTTGTAACATCAAGATCATTAATAGTTATATCTGAGACAGTGATATCTTCTCCTTGTACATGATTTATCATCACCATTATACTCAATAAGATGATCATCATTTTCATAATACTTATATGCTTCTTTCTCCAATTGAAATAAATCATAATCATGACCTTGATTCTAACTAATAATTGAAAAAGATATCTGATACCCCTTAACAAATGAATCAACCAATCCCTTGACAACTGATAATTAAATTTGCTTTTAAATTTGGCGTTTGATTTGTTGTTTGGTTCATTTGACGGACTTACCATCAGGTACCTTATTACACAACTACATTATACTCCATAACTGGTGACCCCGAGCAGAACATTTAAGAAAGATGAGCAGTGACAGTAGTGACTCAACGCATTCGCAAAGAAGGGCGCGGTCAACGAAAAAATGTGAGCGCGTGTCCATTGACTCGCACGATAATGCATCAGAAATATTTCGTGTTGGCGTGAGAATACCACCGTTTTGGCCGGAAAAACCAACGATATGGTTTTCACAAATTGAAGGTCAGTTTAGCATATCGAGAATTACGGATGACTTGACGAAATTCCACTACGTTCTTTCACATTTGGACCGGCAGTATGCAGTAGAGGTAGAAGATATTATTACTTCGCCTCCAGCCACGGGGAAGTACGAGAAACTCAAAAGTGAGCTAATCAAGCTCCTTGATTATCAATTATAAGTTTAGTGCTCGAACCTGAGTAATACCACGATGTTTCATTTAGTCTAACCTATGGCATCTCATTTCTCCCTAATTCAACTAATGAACATTTCATTTTTAATTCAGATAATGGAGCTCCATTGAGTAACTGACTCAAACATGATTCCTGATCAATAACTTGAAGGCCATTTGATTGTATAATTCCTGACACCTTTTGGTCTACACAGTAAGGACTAAATAGAACCGTTGATAAGTCAATTTTGTATGAGTGATGTAATATAGATGACATTAACTCAGTGTTATCCGTATTGATGATATACTTTTTGTTATTAATTAGCATAGGAATAGGGCGAACTTTATAAATTATTATTTGATTGGATGAGTCAGGAATTATGGGAATGTTTAAAAGGACAAAGAAAGTATCTTTTTCTCTTAGGCAGTTTGTTAATGGAAGTGAGTAATACATTTCAATAGATGATTCCCCAATCGCTGGATTTAATTTCATATTTTTAAGATTGGGATGAACTTCTTCAAGAAGATTAATTAATCTTCCTTTATTAATCAGTGACTCCGATAAATAATGTAAATTACATTTATCAATTGTCTGCACTAACTGCATCTGAAATAATTCATAAGTGAGATGTCGGGTTTCCAAAGCCATCTTCAATCTTTGATATGTTAACATCCTCTTTATTTCTCTGAATGTTGAATCAATCTTTTCTTGGTATGATCCTAATTCATTCACAACATTGACTATTGTTGATTTAATTGGAGTTAAGTCAATTTGAATTTGCTTTACATCAGTGATTAATTGCTCATTCAAATTTAGCTGTGTTTTCATTATTTCCTTAAGGCCATTTACATATTCAGTTAAGGATTGAGATTGAACTTTGAGATTTTCAATATCCCTAAGGGTGGCCACTCCTGTAAATTTTGAGTTAATTTCACCTATGAATGGTAAAAGTCCTTCACTAGGCCATGACCTTTTTGTCCTCTTCAATAATGTAAAATTCTTTAATTGATCGATTAATTCAACTGAATATATACTATGATCAGTTATGTTAAATAATGCAATTTCCCTAGAAATATCGTCATATTCCATGTGTATGTCAATTTCAATAGGAATATAAAGGAAATCAGTGTAAACATAAAAGCTTTGGGTTTTCTCAAACAGAATCCCTGTTGTAACATCAAGATCATTAATAGTTATATCTGAGACAGTGATATCTTCTCCTTGTACATGATTTATCATCACCATTATACTCAATAAGATGATCATCATTTTCATAATACTTATATGCTTCTTTCTCCAATTGAAATAAATCATAATCATGACCTTGATTCTAACTAATAATTGAAAAAGATATCTGATACCCCTTAACAAATGAATCAACCAATCCCTTGACAACTGATAATTAAATTTGCTTTTAAATTTGGCGTTTGATTTGTTGTTTGGTTCATTTGACGGACTTACCATCAGGTACCTTATTACACAACTACATTATACTCCATAACTGGTGACCCCGAGCAGAACATTTAAGAAAGATGAGCAGTGACAGTAGTGACACAACGCATTCGCAAAGAAGGGCGCGGTCAACGAAAAAATGTGAGCGCGTGTCCATTGACTCGCACGATAATGCATCAGAAATATTTCGTGTTGGCGTGAGAATACCACCGTTTTGGCCGGAAAAACCAACGATATGGTTTTCACAAATTGAAGGTCAGTTTAGCATATCGAGAATTACGGATGACTTGACGAAATTCCACTACGTTCTTTCACATTTGGACCGGCAGTATGCAGTAGAGGTAGAAGATATTATTACTTCGCCTCCAGCCACGGGGAAGTACGAGAAACTCAAAAGTGAGCTAATCAAGCTCCTTGATTATCAATTATAAGTTTAGTGCTCGAACCTGAGTAATACCACGATGTTTCATTTAGTCTAACCCATGGCATCTCATTTCTCCCTAATTCAACTAATGAACATTTCATTTTTAATTCAGATAATGGAGCTCCATTGAGTAACTGACTCAAACATGATTCCTGATCAATAACTTGAAGGCCATTTGATTGTATAATTCCTGACACCTTTTGGTCTACACAGTAAGGACTAAATAGAACCGTTGATAAGTCAATTTTGTATGAGTGATGTAATATAGATGACATTAACTCAGTGTTATCCGTATTGATGATATACTTTTTGTTATTAATTAGCATAGGAATAGGGCGAACTTTATAAATTATTATTTGATTGGATGAGTCAGGAATTATGGGAATGTTTAAAAGGACAAAGAAAGTATCTTTTTCTCTTAGGCAGTTTGTTAATGGAAGTGAGTAATACATTTCAATAGATGATTCCCCAATCGCTGGATTTAATTTCATATTTTTAAGATTGGGATGAACTTCTTCAAGAAGATTAATTAATCTTCCTTTATTAATCAGTGACTCCGATAAATAATGTAAATTACATTTATCAATTGTCTGCACTAACTGCATCTGAAATAATTCATAAGTGAGATGTCGGGTTTCCAAAGCCATCTTCAATCTTTGATATGTTAACATCCTCTTTATTTCTCTGAATGTTGAATCAATCTTTTCTTGGTATGATCCTAATTCATTCACAACATTGACTATTGTTGATTTAATTGGAGTTAAGTCAATTTGAATTTGCTTTACATCAGTGATTAATTGCTCATTCAAATTTAGCTGTGTTTTCATTATTTCCTTAAGGCCATTTACATATTCAGTTAAGGATTGAGATTGAACTTTGAGATTTTCAATATCCCTAAGGGTGGCCACTCCTGTAAATTTTGAGTTAATTTCACCTATGAATGGTAAAAGTCCTTCACTAGGCCATGACCTTTTTGTCCTCTTCAATAATGTAAAATTCTTTAATTGATCGATTAATTCAACTGAATATATACTATGATCAGTTATGTTAAATAATGCAATTTCCCTAGAAATATCGTCATATTCCATGTGTATGTCAATTTCAATAGGAATATAAAGGAAATCAGTGTAAACATAAAAGCTTTGGGTTTTCTCAAACAGAATCCCTGTTGTAACATCAAGATCATTAATAGTTATATCTGAGACAGTGATATCTTCTCCTTGTACATGATTTATCATCACCATTATACTCAATAAGATGATCATCATTTTCATAATACTTATATGCTTCTTTCTCCAATTGAAATAAATCATAATCATGACCTTGATTCTAACTAATAATTGAAAAAGATATCTGATACCCCCTTAACAAATGAATCAACCAATCCCTTGACAACTGATAATTAAATTTGCTTTTAAATTTGGCGTTTGATTTGTTGTTTGGTTCATTTGACGGACTTACCATCAGGTACCTTATTACACAACTACATTATACTCCATAACTGGTGACCCCGAGCAGAACATTTAAGAAAGATGAGCAGTGACAGTAGTGACACAACGCATTCGCAAAGAAGGGCGCGGTCAACGAAAAAATGTGAGCGCGTGTCCATTGACTCGCACGATAATGCATCAGAAATATTTCGTGTTGGCGTGAGAATACCACCGTTTTGGCCGGAAAAACCAACGATATGGTTTTCACAAATTGAAGGTCAGTTTAGCATATCGAGAATTACGGATGACTTGACGAAATTCCACTACGTTCTTTCACATTTGGACCGGCAGTATGCAGTAGAGGTAGAAGATATTATTACTTCGCCTCCAGCCACGGGGAAGTACGAGAAACTCAAAAGTGAGCTAATCAAGCTCCTTGATTATCAATTATAAGTTTAGTGCTCGAACCTGAGTAATACCACGATGTTTCATTTAGTCTAACCCATGGCATCTCATTTCTCCCTAATTCAACTAATGAACATTTCATTTTTAATTCAGATAATGGAGCTCCATTGAGTAACTGACTCAAACATGATTCCTGATCAATAACTTGAAGGCCATTTGATTGTATAATTCCTGACACCTTTTGGTCTACACAGTAAGGACTAAATAGAACCGTTGATAAGTCAATTTTGTATGAGTGATGTAATATAGATGACATTAACTCAGTGTTATCCGTATTGATGATATACTTTTTGTTATTAATTAGCATAGGAATAGGGCGAACTTTATAAATTATTATTTGATTGGATGAGTCAGGAATTATGGGAATGTTTAAAAGGACAAAGAAAGTATCTTTTTCTCTTAGGCAGTTTGTTAATGGAAGTGAGTAATACATTTCAATAGATGATTCCCCAATCGCTGGATTTAATTTCATATTTTTAAGATTGGGATGAACTTCTTCAAGAAGATTAATTAATCTTCCTTTATTAATCAGTGACTCCGATAAATAATGTAAATTACATTTATCAATTGTCTGCACTAACTGCATCTGAAATAATTCATAAGTGAGATGTCGGGTTTCCAAAGCCATCTTCAATCTTTGATATGTTAACATCCTCTTTATTTCTCTGAATGTTGAATCAATCTTTTCTTGGTATGATCCTAATTCATTCACAACATTGACTATTGTTGATTTAATTGGAGTTAAGTCAATTTGAATTTGCTTTACATCAGTGATTAATTGCTCATTCAAATTTAGCTGTGTTTTCATTATTTCCTTAAGGCCATTTACATATTCAGTTAAGGATTGAGATTGAACTTTGAGATTTTCAATATCTCTAAGGGTGGCCACTCCTGTAAATTTTGAGTTAATTTCACCTATGAATGGTAAAAGTCCTTCACTAGGCCATGACCTTTTTGTCCTCTTCAATAATGTAAAATTCTTTAATTGATCGATTAATTCAACTGAATATATACTATGATCAGTTATGTTAAATAATGCAATTTCCCTAGAAATATCGTCATATTCCATGTGTATGTCAATTTCAATAGGAATATAAAGGAAATCAGTGTAAACATAAAAGCTTTGGGTTTTCTCAAACAGAATCCCTGTTGTAACATCAAGATCATTAATAGTTATATCTGAGACAGTGATATCTTCTCCTTGTACATGATTTATCATCACCATTATACTCAATAAGATGATCATCATTTTCATAATACTTATATGCTTCTTTCTCCAATTGAAATAAATCATAATCATGACCTTGATTCTAACTAATAATTGAAAAAGATATCTGATACCCCTTAACAAATGAATCAACCAATCCCTTGACAACTGATAATTAAATTTGCTTTTAAATTTGGCGTTTGATTTGTTGTTTGGTTCATTTGACGGACTTACCATCAGGTACCTTATTACACAACTACATTATACTCCATAACTGGTGACCCCGAGCAGAACATTTAAGAAAGATGAGCAGTGACAGTAGTGACACAACGCATTCGCAAAGAAGGGCGCGGTCAACGAAAAAATGTGAGCGCGTGTCCATTGACTCGCACGATAATGCATCAGAAATATTTCGTGTTGGCGTGAGAATACCACCGTTTTGGCCGGAAAAACCAACGATATGGTTTTCACAAATTGAAGGTCAGTTTAGCATATCGAGAATTACGGATGACTTGACGAAATTCCACTACGTTCTTTCACATTTGGACCGGCAGTATGCAGTAGAGGTAGAAGATATTATTACTTCGCCTCCAGCCACGGGGAAGTACGAGAAACTCAAAAGTGAGCTAATCAAGCTCCTTGATTATCAATTATAAGTTTAGTGCTCGAACCTGAGTAATACCACGATGTTTCATTTAGTCTAACCTATGGCATCTCATTTCTCCCTAATTCAACTAATGAACATTTCATTTTTAATTCAGATAATGGAGCTCCATTGAGTAACTGACTCAAACATGATTCCTGATCAATAACTTGAAGGCCATTTGATTGTATAATTCCTGACACCTTTTGGTCTACACAGTAAGGACTAAATAGAACCGTTGATAAGTCAATTTTGTATGAGTGATGTAATATAGATGACATTAACTCAGTGTTATCCGTATTGATGATATACTTTTTGTTATTAATTAGCATAGGAATAGGGCGAACTTTATAAATTATTATTTGATTGGATGAGTCAGGAATTATGGGAATGTTTAAAAGGACAAAGAAAGTATCTTTTTCTCTTAGGCAGTTTGTTAATGGAAGTGAGTAATACATTTCAATAGATGATTCCCCAATCGCTGGATTTAATTTCATATTTTTAAGATTGGGATGAACTTCTTCAAGAAGATTAATTAATCTTCCTTTATTAATCAGTGACTCCGATAAATAATGTAAATTACATTTATCAATTGTCTGCACTAACTGCATCTGAAATAATTCATAAGTGAGATGTCGGGTTTCCAAAGCCATCTTCAATCTTTGATATGTTAACATCCTCTTTATTTCTCTGAATGTTGAATCAATCTTTTCTTGGTATGATCCTAATTCATTCACAACATTGACTATTGTTGATTTAATTGGAGTTAAGTCAATTTGAATTTGCTTTACATCAGTGATTAATTGCTCATTCAAATTTAGCTGTGTTTTCATTATTTCCTTAAGGCCATTTACATATTCAGTTAAGGATTGAGATTGAACTTTGAGATTTTCAATATCCCTAAGGGTGGCCACTCCTGTAAATTTTGAGTTAATTTCACCTATGAATGGTAAAAGTCCTTCACTAGGCCATGACCTTTTTGTCCTCTTCAATAATGTAAAATTCTTTAATTGATCGATTAATTCAACTGAATATATACTATGATCAGTTATGTTAAATAATGCAATTTCCCTAGAAATATCGTCATATTCCATGTGTATGTCAATTTCAATAGGAATATAAAGGAAATCAGTGTAAACATAAAAGCTTTGGGTTTTCTCAAACAGAATCCCTGTTGTAACATCAAGATCATTAATAGTTATATCTGAGACAGTGATATCTTCTCCTTGTACATGATTTATCATCACCATTATACTCAATAAGATGATCATCATTTTCATAATACTTATATGCTTCTTTCTCCAATTGAAATAAATCATAATCATGACCTTGATTCTAACTAATAATTGAAAAAGATATCTGATACCCCTTAACAAATGAATCAACCAATCCCTTGACAACTGATAATTAAATTTGCTTTTAAATTTGGCGTTTGATTTGTTGTTTGGTTCATTTGACGGACTTACCATCAGGTACCTTATTACACAACTACATTATACTCCATAACTGGTGACCCCGAGCAGAACATTTAAGAAAGATGAGCAGTGACAGTAGTGACACAACGCATTCGCAAAGAAGGGCGCGGTCAACGAAAAAATGTGAGCGCGTGTCCATTGACTCGCACGATAATGCATCAGAAATATTTCGTGTTGGCGTGAGAATACCACCGTTTTGGCCGGAAAAACCAACAATATGGTTTTCACAAATTGAAGGTCAGTTTAGCATATCGAGAATTACGGATGACTTGACGAAATTCCACTACGTTCTTTCACATTTGGACCGGCAGTATGCAGTAGAGGTAGAAGATATTATTACTTCGCCTCCAGCCACGGGGGAAGTACGAGAAACTCAAAAGTGAGCTAATCAAGCTCCTTGATTATCAATTATAAGTTTAGTGCTCGAACCTGAGTAATACCACGATGTTTCATTTAGTCTAACCTATGGCATCTCATTTCTCCCTAATTCAACTAATGAACATTTCATTTTTAATTCAGATAATGGAGCTCCATTGAGTAACTGACTCAAACATGATTCCTGATCAATAACTTGAAGGCCATTTGATTGTATAATTCCTGACACCTTTTGGTCTACACAGTAAGGACTAAATAGAACCGTTGATAAGTCAATTTTGTATGAGTGATGTAATATAGATGACATTAACTCAGTGTTATCCGTATTGATGATATACTTTTTGTTATTAATTAGCATAGGAATAGGGCGAACTTTATAAATTATTATTTGATTGGATGAGTCAGGAATTATGGGAATGTTTAAAAGGACAAAGAAAGTATCTTTTTCTCTTAGGCAGTTTGTTAATGGAAGTGAGTAATACATTTCAATAGATGATTCCCCAATCGCTGGATTTAATTTCATATTTTTAAGATTGGGATGAACTTCTTCAAGAAGATTAATTAATCTTCCTTTATTAATCAGTGACTCCGATAAATAATGTAAATTACATTTATCAATTGTCTGCACTAACTGCATCTGAAATAATTCATAAGTGAGATGTCGGGTTTCCAAAGCCATCTTCAATCTTTGATATGTTAACATCCTCTTTATTTCTCTGAATGTTGAATCAATCTTTTCTTGGTATGATCCTAATTCATTCACAACATTGACTATTGTTGATTTAATTGGAGTTAAGTCAATTTGAATTTGCTTTACATCAGTGATTAATTGCTCATTCAAATTTAGCTGTGTTTTCATTATTTCCTTAAGGCCATTTACATATTCAGTTAAGGATTGAGATTGAACTTTGAGATTTTCAATATCTCTAAGGGTGGCCACTCCTGTAAATTTTGAGTTAATTTCACCTATGAATGGTAAAAGTCCTTCACTAGGCCATGACCTTTTTGTCCTCTTCAATAATGTAAAATTCTTTAATTGATCGATTAATTCAACTGAATATATACTATGATCAGTTATGTTAAATAATGCAATTTCCCTAGAAATATCGTCATATTCCATGTGTATGTCAATTTCAATAGGAATATAAAGGAAATCAGTGTAAACATAAAAGCTTTGGGTTTTCTCAAACAGAATCCCTGTTGTAACATCAAGATCATTAATAGTTATATCTGAGACAGTGATATCTTCTCCTTGTACATGATTTATCATCACCATTATACTCAATAAGATGATCATCATTTTCATAATACTTATATGCTTCTTTCTCCAATTGAAATAAATCATAATCATGACCTTGATTCTAACTAATAATTGAAAAAGATATCTGATACCCCTTAACAAATGAATCAACCAATCCCTTGACAACTGATAATTAAATTTGCTTTTAAATTTGGCGTTTGATTTGTTGTTTGGTTCATTTGACGGACTTACCATCAGGTACCTTATTACACAACTACATTATACTCCATAACTGGTGACCCCGAGCAGAACATTTAAGAAAGATGAGCAGTGACAGTAGTGACACAACGCATTCGCAAAGAAGGGCGCGGTCAACGAAAAAATGTGAGCGCGTGTCCATTGACTCGCACGATAATGCATCAGAAATATTTCGTGTTGGCGTGAGAATACCACCGTTTTGGCCGGAAAAACCAACGATATGGTTTTCACAAATTGAAGGTCAGTTTAGCATATCGAGAATTACGGATGACTTGACGAAATTCCACTACGTTCTTTCACATTTGGACCGGCAGTATGCAGTAGAGGTAGAAGATATTATTACTTCGCCTCCAGCCACGGGGAAGTACGAGAAACTCAAAAGTGAGCTAATCAAGCGTCTTTCTATTTCGGAAAGAAAAAAAAGTGAAGCAGCTCCTACAGTCGGAAGAGTTAGGTGGTCGTAAGCCATCACAGTTCCTGCGTCACCTGCAACACCTCGCTGGCCCTACGATACCAGACGATTTTTTGAGGTCACTTTGGACGAGCCGCCTTCCAAGCAACCTTCAGACCATCATCGCATCCCAGATGAGCCTGTCCCCTCAGCGAACTCGCTGACCTGGCAGACAGGGTCCATGATATCTCACCGGCATCGCCGTTGGTTGCAGCAACATCCAGCTCCAGAGTGGACTCCACATTAGATATTATGGCACGGCAGATCACGGAACTAACAAAACAGGTTAGTGCACTCACAACGAGACTTAGCGACCGCTCTCGCCCCCGCCAACGACAGACGTCACGTGGGCGAAGCCGTACGCCATCGAGAAGGTCCCAGTCCAATTATAGGAAGTTCCCCAACTGCTGGTACCATCACAAATATGGCAGCAAAGCGAAGAGGTGCATCCAACCATGTGACTACAGAACGGGAAACGCAAAAGGCAATCTATAATGGCGACTGAAGATTGCCCGTCCCCTACTACTGGTCGCCTTTTCGTGACAGATCGCAGATCGCGAGTTCAATTCCTGGTGGACACTGGAAGCGACTTATGCG